GGGAAAAGGGCGGCCTACAAATTCTAATAAAACTACAAACTACAAACTACCTAGCCACGCCCACCCAGCCAGTCATTAGGCAGATCATATTATTGGTCCATGGGATTTAAAATTATGAATTTAGTGGTCCCTGAGGTCCAAAAGGTTGGTGACCCCCTGCGCTAAAGCATTGGGCTAGGATGGTGGTTGAGCTGCAATGATCTTTGGTCTGGCAGGAAGGGGTCTTTTGCTTTTAACCATGTTTTTATGGATTGTTTTTGAGCTATCTACAGTCCTAGGACATAGGCAGACATGTGTCCAATAAATATATAAATCTGCAGCAATAAAGTGTATGGAAGCTTATTAAGCAGACATATAAACACATGGGGGATGAGAAACTTATGGAAAAAAGATACTTTGACAGAGGAAATCTTCAGTTGAATTGTGACTTAATCCCAGACCGTTCCATTGAATTACTTCTGAATGGACATGTATAGGACTACACCTTTAAGAATCTAATGCCATAATTCTCTAATGGGTTGGTTCGGGATTTCTCAATCCCAGCAACTTTATGTAGACTTCAACTCTCAGAATTCCCTAGCCAGGATGGGGAAGGTCTTAAAGTGGCTGAGTTTGAGAAACACTGAACTAGGTTATTCTGAGAAGCATATGTTCAGCATTCAAATTATTCCAGCAGAAACAAAGATCCTGCATAACAAACCTTTTTAAAGATAAGTCAAAGGCTGGAATTTGTAATAGCGTAATTAGCTGGTGCTGAAAGATTTATACTACATTTCTCTGTATTCTCACTACCAGTTCCCACGGAATCTAACAAAAGAAGCAGATTTTGGTGTCTAAATGACAAATCCTGGAGGATCCAAAGCATATAAGCTAACTTGTTGCTGGATAAAATTGCTCCAGCAGCATACAAAAAGTTCAGTTCCAAGGGTATATTCGGTTATTCTTAGCCCTGGATCATACAGTTCAGAATTTGAGATGTCAACTTGCATTCCCTTGAAAGCAGAACCAATGGGAAGGGACGGTCCTCCAACATTTCTAAGGCTGTTAAGTTCCCCCATGTACTCCAGCCATATGCTATTCATAAACAGTCATCTGTATGAACTGAAAACTCATTTGATCCAGGGCTTCTCAATAAACCTCCTCTGTCCCCAGAGCCTTCCAGATGCTGGTTGTGTTTTGCTGGGAAATGTGGCAATTGTAATCGAATACATCTGGAAGACACTATGTGGATTCAGGATACTTATGCACAGATTTAAAAAAAATAATTACTCTTCAGAATTGGTATTTTGCTAACTTTTGCGATGCAGTTCTGCATCACCTCCCTCTTCCAAGAAAGTCACAAAAAATGTTTTTCAAGGTATGTTTTGCAACAAAATCATGTCACCATCCCAATAGATTATTTTTTTAAAAAATACTAGTTTGGGGGAGAAAAAATACACACCTAAACACACACACAAATATATGGAATGATTATTCACTTCTGTTATTTAAAAGAATCCTACATTCAAGAAAAGAAATCAGAAGTAATCTATGAGAACAAAAGTAGAGTAATCGATCTTCACTTGTCCTCTCCTATACCCTAGATCAATGTTGGCAAACCTAATCGGCACCGAGTGCCAAAATGGGAGTGCGGGAACGTGCGGGAGCACCGGAAACCAGAAGAGCAGTTTCTGCTGTGCACAGCTAAGCTTCTGGTTTCCAGTATGTGCATGTGCGCTGGTCACCAGTTACTCCAGTTTCCAGGAGAACAGCTGTCCGATCTGCCAGTTTCCATGAAGAATAGCTGGCTGGTGTGCATCTGCACGCTGAAAGACAGAAACTCAGCTTCCTGCATGCACGCCAGGGAGCTGCTTTTCCAGTTTCTGGTGCTCCCACGAGAGTGAAGACCAGCTGGCAAGCGTGCATGTGCACTCCAGAACCCAGAAGAGCAACGGGTGATGGCTGGCGTGCTCAGAGAGATGCCTCTGCGTGCCACTTCCAGCACACGTGATATAGGTTTGCCATCACAGCCCTAGATATCAGAATTTATTCTTGTATCCTATGTGCAATAATAACAGTATTTCCCATCCCGCAAGAACAATACAGCTGTTAACAGTCATAGACCCTGGTATCAGACAACTGATTCAATCTTTCCATCCTAAATGGGCCCTTTTGGATATGGGGCCAGTCGGAGCCAACTAGAGATAGCCCAAATATTAGCCAAAAGAAGCAGCTGCCTCAGGAACAGCATTAACAACTATAACTGGCTATAACTCCTTGGTGGCCCAGCTGGTCCTTCTCTTGAGGGACATGGCATTACCTACATTGTGCAGCTTCTCCTAAGCTATAGCAATAGCAATAGCAGTAGACTTATATACCGCTTCATAGGCCTTTCAGGCCTCTCTAAGCGGTTTACAGAGTCAGCATATTGCCCCCAACAACAATCTGGGTCCTCATTTTACCCACCTCGGAAGGATGGAAGGCTGAGTCAACCCTGAGCCGGTGAGATTTGAACCACTGAACTGCTGAACTAGCAGTCAGCTGAAGTGGCCTGCAGTACTGCACTCTACCCACTGCGCCACCTCGGCTATGGGAGGTCATCTTCCTTGGCCAACGCTAGAAAGTCAAGTGGGCATCCCACAGACTTTGATGCGTGGAGTGGAAGCGTTCCTTGCTCCCCCTAGCTCTGTTAAAGGTAAAAGTAAAGGTTCCCCTTGCACATATGCGCTAGTCGTTCCCAACTCTAGGGGGCGGTGCTCATCTCCGTTTCAAAGACGAAGAGTCAGCGCTGTCCGAAGACATCTCCGTGGTCATGTTGCCGGCACAACTAAATGCCGAAGGCACACGGAATGCTGTTACCTTCCCACCAGAGGTGGTTCCTATTTTTTTTATTTGCATTTTTCCGTGCTTTCAAACTGCTAGGTTGGCAGAAGCTGGGACAAGTAACGGGAGCTCATCCTGTTACGCGGCACTAGGGATTCAAACCGCTGAACTGCTGACCTTTCTGATCGACAAGCTCAGCGTCTTAGCCACTGAGCCACCGCTCTGTTAAGTTTGGAAAATAATAATCACCAGGTTTAGAACCTGCTTTCATGAAACAATCTGTCAAGGGTGGCAGAACACAGAGAGAGTTGACCTGGTTTCTCAATTTAACCAGTTCCCAGTCCGGATTTCCAATCCTACTTATCCGTGTGGCCTTTGCTGCTTTATTTGTCACCCTTGGCTTCTTTGCTTGCCGGCATCCCAGCCTACCTCTCCTTTCCAGGAGCAAGCTTCATCCTGCCTCTTTCTCCCGAATCCTTGCCACTGCTGGCAGTGAAGCGTCTCCTACAATGTTCTGTGAAGAGCTTCAAAATACGCATTCATCTCTTCCTCTCACACCCCAATTCCTACGTCTCCAGGGTCTTGCCTCATCTCTTTGGCTCCGTTCACTTTCTAGTTTTGGTGGAAAGATATCATCAAAACAAAAGGTTTGCTGGAAGCTACCCTCCAACCAGCTCGTTCTCTTCAGCTCCTAACAAAGCTATAAATCCCCTGGAAGACTTGGCTTTTCGCACCGAGTAAACTAATGACCAGGGGAAATAAAGATTGCTTTACGCTACTGCCCGCGTTCCCTCGCCCGCCCACAATGTATACGTTCAGTCAGGTTACCAAACATGGAACGGGCAAACAGAAGAGTCACTCACCTCTGCTCTTAACTTGCTCCCCCTAGAAATCAGCTGTGGAATAGAATGAAAAGTTAACAGGGGAGGTTCAGGGCCATGTGGAGAGGAAAAAGCGTTGTTTGAGCAAACAGTGTGTCTGCTGCTCCTCCCTCTCCCCTCCTCCTTTCCCTCCCCTAGCACCACAAGTGGCTTTCAAATAAATGATCACCAGAGGTCTGGGGGTGGCGGTGGGAGGCCTGGGAGGAAGCATGTATGTGCTTGTTTCGATGTTTGGTTGCAAAGGGAGGGAGGAGGGACGAAGAAGAGGGGTCACCCACAGCCGCTCCAGTCTCACAACATTTCTCCCCTTTATGAAGTTATGTAAGAGGCTGGGTGGGTGGGTGGGTGGGTGGGAACGGGACCTGCCAAAAGGCAGGCTGGCTGGTTGGCAGGCAGACAGAACACAAAGAATGAACATCTTAGGATATATCGAGGAGGGCAGGAGACTGGCGTTTTGCACTTCCTTGCAAAGGAGCCTCTTTGGAAGGGTCTGGCGTTCAAGACCACAAATACAGCCCTGTGATAGAAATGTGTGTGTGTGTGTGTGTGTGTGTGTGTGCTTGCCCCCCCCCCATTTTCCCCCTGCATCTGGAACATTGCGTTAGGGGTTTCATTTGTATTCCCTGCCTTGTTTCCTTCAGGAATTTCAGGCGTGGATATTAGCCCTACAATAGCCCTTTGAAGGAGACACAGCCAAGGGCTATTGGCAGGCTTTCCACATTGACAGGGGAGCTGAAGAGAGTTTCTCTTCATCGAACAGTCTAGCTGTCTTCTGTTGTTGTTGGTTTTTTTCCCTCCTTCCCGGCCAACGTTCAGAGAATGCTAGGCAAGAGGCGCCAGGGTGTTTTCTAATATTTAACAGAATGACAGGGTTGGGAGGGACCTTGGGGGTCTTCTAGTCCAGTGTTTTTCAACCTTTTTTGTGCAAAGGCACACTTTTTTCATGAAAAAAATCATGAGGCACACCACCATTAGAAAATGTTT